AAATTTTACTACCACCAATGGTCAAGATGCAATAAATACCTAAAATTTTACCTTCACCGTTTTAACCCATTTCCTAGAAATGGGTGGCAAAAACGGTTCAATTTTTAAGTCGGTTTTTAAAATCTTGTTTTTTTGTCTTCCATGAGTTCTCTTTCTCAACCGTCGTATCAGGGAAGTCTATAACTCAATTATCTTATAATTTTCTTTCGTAATGATACTTTTTTTTTTCAAAACCGATTCAAGGAGGCCGATTTAAGACACCTCCACCCTTTGAACCGGTCAGAACCCCAATATACCCTATATGGGACACGTATCAGGGTGCTCCCAATACAATACGTATCAGTCAATACAGACCAACACGTGTCAATACTTTGAACCTTGCCAATGAATGAATAAAACACATGATCCATTAGCAGTCAACAAAACAAGTGACGATTGAAAATGAACAAGAACCAAGAGAAACAAAACCAAAGAAAGAGGAGAAAAAATGATGGTGACCAGCTAACCGTGGGAACTCTGTTGCAGCCTCCACCTCTACATCCTTTCTTCTTCTTCAATCGCCCTTTTCACTTGCCTCCACCTCCTCCTCCGTCGGCTACATGCGCCAGTTTCGGCCATGGTATTGCTGTTGCAAGGAAGAGTAGCAGCGAGACAAGAAAGCAGGATAGAGGTTGATGAGGGCGGATTTGGCCATCCAATGATATTGTGACACATGCCACCTCGGAACAAATAGGTGACACCCGGAACCACTTTGGCAACAACTTGCCTTAGCCAAGTTGATGGTGTCCCACCTGGCGACCCAGGGGCGGCCTAGTACAGGTGCGACCTGGCCTTGGCGCGAGCTAGCAGCCTAGCACAGGCACAACCTGGCGGCCTGGCACAGACACCGACCGGGCGGCCTGGCACAGGCACAACCTGGTAGCCTGGCACAGGCGCCGACCTGGCGACCTGGCACATGCGCCGACTTGGCGACTTGCAAGACGTGCTCGCTGACGAATTCGACATGCATATCCAAACACTCCCACAATCCTTGGAAGTTGGCCCACGTGCCGAACGATCCGGAGGGTGGTCAACGTGCATGACGGTTACCTCCAGGAATTTCAAACCACTTAGACGACCTTGTAGAAATCTCGGATATGGTGCGTGAAGCCCACGCCAAACAATGCCTATATAAAGGCACCAACCCCAGAAGCATTGAAGGAAGCAAGCAAATAAGCAAATTCTAGCTCTCATACTTTGTGATTTTTAGCTCGTAGTCTATTATGAGAGTACTGACTTAAGCATCAGAGCGACATCGCTGGGTTAGCCACCTGAGGTCCTCTGACATTTAATTCCTTGCAGGTCTCTAAAGAGAAACGAAGCTCATCAATCTAGCTCGGCACTTCACAGGCAGCTCCACTTCGGCCTCTGAGTCATTGGCCACTTGGAAGTAAACCAAATGACGAGGTACTTAGCCAAAAGATTGATATAAGACCAAAAATTGATTCATCAGAGGTGATGTTGAAGTTGCCATGACTTAGCTTGAATGGTCTATGTTTGTGGCCGAAGGCTGCTCAATCTGTGCCTTTAAATAAGTAAAAGGGATTATAGCTTGAATGATCTGGAAGAGGAAGAAGATGAACAGTGTTTTTGCCCTTATTTGAAATTATTTTTAAAAAGGTAAATCTCTTAAACTACCCCGACTGTTTAATGTAATGACATGCGGTACTCCTACTGTTTAGCTATTGCCTTGCGGTACCCTTAAGTTTTCTAACAATTGTCATTGCCGTTAAGTGCTAATAGAAGGAAACGAAATGTCAAATTTTCCCTCTTCTTCCTCTTCAATGGAGCAGGTCTGTTTCATTTCCATCAAGACCGGTGCCGGTACCAGCAGCGGCAGTGGCAACTGCAACGACAATGGTGTTCATAGAAATTACAGAGAGAGAGAGATGGGGTTTGAACTGTTGCTTCTAACAACGGTACTTTTGTGCTTTGCAACTAATTACAATGCAGTCTCAGCCGCCAGCAACACCTCTACATGCCCCATGGACATGGGCTATGTGGAAAGAGTCCCATGGGACTCCTCATCGTGCTCGAGCTTCCCAAGGAACAACACCAACTGCTGCCAGACTCTGCTCAGCCTCTTCGGCATCGCTCTGGCTGTACGCCTCAAGGAGACCTCCCTCTTCCAGCTCCCCGACATCCCCACTTCCTCTTCCTGCATATCTGACTTCCAGTCCAAGCTGGATTCTCTGTCTCTCCCTTCTGATCTCGCCTCAGTCTGCTTCAGCCCGAGCCAATTCGTTGCAAGCCACCAACTCTGTGCCGGTATTAATACTAAACAAGACTGGCTCAACAAGCTTGGGCCCTCCACTGCACTCAACACGGCGTGCCAATCTGATCTCAGCATCGGCATCGCCTGCGATGCCTGCATCGCTGCTGAGTTCAAGGTTCAGGCCAGACTAATTTCCATCGATGGCAATAAAACCCATTCCGTTGATTGCTTCTATTCCACACTTCTCTATGTTGCTGCCTTTGTTCATGAGTATGGACCCGAGAGCACACGAGCTGCCTGTATATTTGGGCTGCCACTGGCCATATCTACAGATAGCAAGAAGCACTTGGCTCTTGTTTTCGCCTTGACTGGTGTTGGAACTGCTACTTTCCTTATGTCTTGCTTTCTGGGTTTGTATCTCTGGTTCAAGCGGTGGAGGAGGAATGTGGCTAATTTGGAGGAGACCAGCCCCAAGCACCGGTTGCGACCCAACACTGTGTCAATCTGGTTCAAGATCGGGGAGCTTGAGAAGGCTACAGATAATTTCTCACAGAAGAATTTGATTGGACATGGTGGGTTCGGTGTTGTTTACAAGGGGACCTTATCAGATGAAACTCCTGTTGCTGTGAAGAAGATCATAGAATCGAACTTTCAAGGGGATGCTGAGTTCTGCAATGAAGTTGAGATCATTAGCAATTTGAAGCACCAGAATCTGGTCCCCCTCAGAGGCTGTTGTGTGGCTAATGAGACTGATGAAGAGAGAGGAAAACAGAGGTATCTTGTGTATGAGTTCATGCTCAATTGGAACCTTGATGATCATCTCTTCTACCCATTCAATGATCATAGCAATAGTAGCCGGCAATCTCTCAGTTGGCCTCAGAGAAAGAGCATAATCTTGGATTGTGGCCAAGGGGCTTGCCTACCTGCACTATGGCGTGAAGCTTGCAATATATCACAGAGACATCAAGGCCACCAACATACTGTTGGATGCAGATATGAGAGCAAGGGTGGCAGACTTTGGGCTGGCCAAGCAGAGCAGAGAAGGGGAGTCTCATCTCACCACCAGAGTTGCTGGAACACATGGCTATCTGGCTCCTGAGTATGCTCTCTATGGGCAACGAGAAGCTCTTCAACTTCGACGCATTATCAATCCTGGCAGAACCCTTCTACATCTTCACCCTCACCATCTTAAGCCTCCTTCTTCCTCTCTCATTCCTCCTACTAGTCAGGCTCTCCACTGAACAACATATCCCCAGCTTCACCTCTTCTCCCACCTCTACCCTCTCCTCTCTCTTCCTGTATGCCATCAATCCTCTTCCTGTTCAACTTCTTGTTTTTGTTGTTTTCGTATCTGCCCTTCTGCATGGCTCACTGGCCGATTCCCCTCACTGAGTGAGTCAGTCAGCATACCCCGTTTATATGTTGCATGGGTTCTGCTTTGCTCTCTGTAGGTCTGTGTTGGATTAGGCATCGAAGAGACAATCGATGGAAACCAACAGCAACAACCCTGTCATGGGAGACAAGGTTCTTACTGCAACTCCACCGTCCACTAGCTTCAATTTGATATTTTTATAAATTTTTTTGTCACTAGAAAATCCAAAAGATCTCTACGGCAAGTGCTGGCGGTGCAGCTAGCGGTCGCTCAAAACCATTGAATTTAGTGGAGTTCAGACCCTTTTGGACTCGAGGGAAGTTCAGCTCAAATGAGCTTCTAGCTGAGCTCAACAATGGCGGAAAAGAACATTTCTACCTCCATTTCCATGGCTCCTTTGTTCTTGCTCTTCTTTTGCTTCTCTACATTGTCTTCACCTCAGAGTGAAACTTTTGGGTTTGAACGGTTAGGGTTTTAATGAACCAGCATCTCTTTCCCTTTTCTCTGTTTTATTTTGAAAATTTGAAGAAGTCACCGGCGAAAGTGGTCGGATATAGACAACGACAGTGGTGGTGATGGCGGCGGAGAAACAGAGAGCGGAATGGTTGTAGAGCGATTCACTGTAGCTACCATCGGGGAGAGGGATGGTGAAGAAGAAAGGAGAGGGACGAAGGGCAAAGTTGGGTTTTGAAAAAAAAATTATACATCATGTGGTGTCACGTGCATACGAATTTCGATAGAACATTAATGGATATTAATTGCAAGGGTAGATCTAGTCAATTGTCAAAAAACTTAAGGATACCGCAAGACAATAGCTAAACAATAGGGGTACCGCATGTCATTACGCTAAACAGTAGGGATAGTTTAAAAGATTTGCCCTTTTTAAAAAGTTAACATATTTTTTAAATTCTATAAAAAATATTACTTTTATTAATATTAGGGCCCAACCTTTGCCCTTCACAGCTATAATCCCTTTTAGTTTTTACCTTTATAATTAATTGAATTGTAACATTTATACCGTAGGAATGACATGATACCGTATTGACTATCAATTTTATATATGTTTGATTCTATTTACATTTATTGAATAAACTTTTATTGATGGTGTCACATATAGGATCAGCAAATACCTTATTAACTTCATTTGTGTGTAGCAAAATTAGATTTTTATGCATCTCTCCCGTTTATGTGATTTGATTTTGTATTATAAACGTTCTCATTAATTATTTTTTTGAATTTTACAATCATACAAGTGCAAAACGTTTACGGAATAAATGTAAACGGAACCAAAAACCAACGGTTAGGCTCAAAAATCAAAAATATCTGATCTCTATTCAATCCTTTCCACTCACTCTATCCACAAACTCCGTCTCCCCTTTCGATACCACTAGATTTTGTTGATTTATTTTTATGTGCAGGGGGAGAGAGAGAGAACGAAACATCATCTGACGAGTGGCGAGAAAAGCAAACGAATGTTGTTCTCTCCGTACCCTATTACTCCTTTCGTCTCTCTTCTTCTTCCTCTGCACTTTTTATCTCTCAGCGTACTTACTCTCTTAAACTGATAATCCGATTCCGATCCAAACAAATAATAAGAGAGGGAATGGCAATTCCTCAACTCGTACCTTCCCCATCTTCAACTCTCACTTATAGACTTTCTTTAAGCCCTAATTCTTCCTTAAACCCTACATACAGACGCCTTGCCAAACCATCGCAATCACGAACAAATAATCTAGCTCCCTCTCATCGCCGGAAACCTAATCTTCTCCTCTGCTCCACCTCCTCTTTCTCCGAAAAACACTACACCGGCTCACCCAAATCCGACGACCTAGTTGAACTCCCCCTCTTCCCTCTCCCTCTCGTTCTCTTCCCCGGTGCCATCCTTCCCTTGCAAATATTCGAATTCAGATACCGCATGATGATGCACACTCTCCTCCAGACCGATCTCCGCTTCGGCGTCATCTACTCCGACTCAGCCACCGGAACGGCCGAAGTCGGCTGCGTGGGCGAGGTCATCAAGCACGAACGCCTCGTTGACGACCGATTCTTCCTCATCTGCAAAGGCCAGGAGCGATTCCGCGTCGTCAATCTTGTCCGGACCAAGCCCTATTTGGTTGCCCTGGTTACGTGGTTGGAGGATCGGCCTTCCGGCGACGGCGATGGCAACTTGGAGGGGTTGGCAAATGAAGTGGAGACTTGCATGAAGGACGTGATCCGCTTGTCTAACCGATTGAATGGAAAGCCCGAGAAGGAAACCCAGGATTTGAGGAGGAATCTGTTTCCCACTCCTTTTTCATTCTTCGTCGGAAGTACATTCGAAGGGGCGCCCAGGGAACAGCAAGCCTTGTTGGAATTGGAGGATACGGCGACCAGATTGAAGAGGGAGAGGGAAACCTTGAGGAATACGCTTAATTATTTAACTGCTGCATCGGCAGTTAAAGATGTCTTCCCGTCTTCTTGAATTAAGGCAGAAGGGACTGAGAGAAAGAAGTTTGGGATTTCAAAAGCAGATCGAGAGATGAAGCGTCAGTAGCGGCGGCCAAAAAAACAGAGAAAAAGAAAGAGAATTAACTGTTACTGGTGCATAGATTTCTGGCATAGTGAATCTATAAGAATGTAAATTTTGATCTGTAGCTTGATTTGCTTTCATTGGCTCATCGCCGTTTATCATGTATAATAGCCAATTTTCATCTGGATACTTGTCTGCTATTTTCAAGTCTGGTAAATAAACGGAGTACCTTCGAGCGATTATAATGTTGTTTTTTATTTTTATCGAATCGAATTCTAGGCAACATCTTCTGGTCTATCATTTTTATACATTTATACGATTGAATCCTTGCTTGCTCTCAGTTGCAATGCAGGGCATAAAATAAAATAAAGATTTGTTTTGTGCGACTCTTTTGATGATTTTTGAGTAAGACTAACTGCAAATCATCAAATCAAATATAGGGTTGAGACCAGCATCTGTAGTTACTCAATTCATTGATATATCAAACTACTTTTCTAGGTTCTGTTCTATCACTCGGCGCTCTCTGATGGTGGAGGAGCTTCATGCATTCACAAATGCTTGCTTGACTGTGTGGAGGAGCTTCATGCTTGACATCTTGTGGTGGTTAAAATTTGAAGATTGCTTGGCGATTAGATATTTTCATCTTGTTAATGAGAATAAAATGCAATTAAAAAACAAAAGAAAAGAAAGAAAGACAGACAGAACAAACCTTTTCTAGATGCTTATATGAATTGATCCTTATAAACTAGTTTTTCTTCTTTTCTTTTTCTGGAAAAATTTCATTTCTGGATCTACTATCCTTGTAGTTGGCCCAAGAAGAGATCGCTTCCCTATTAATACAGTGGGATTAATATTAATACCTGGGAGACCATGAATCCATGATCCTACACACTATGCCTTCAATGTGATCAGGCTGTTCTTGGGTTCTTTTTAATGTTTCTTTTATTTATTCATTCCTATTAAAGAGCTTATCCCTATGCTAAAGAAAGTAAGTAAGAAACGACTAGCCACTTAGCTCAGGGAGTAAAAAGGAATTTTTGTATAAAGTGTTTCTTTGCCGATTGCGAAAGGAAGATTTATGGGCATTAACAGCCTTAGACATGTATACAGAGAATTGTGCCACTTTCTGCCTGCCATAATAAGGAGTGGTTGCAAATACGTGCATGCAAATTTAGTTGGATTTGGATTTTGAGCTTTTGACATTAGTTTGTGGTGAGGCTAGGGTTCATAATTTAGGGTTGGTCTTGGGTTGGCCACTTGGCCCTTGAACTAACTCAATAATTTTTGCTTTTTAAGACGAAGAGAGTAGGATTCTCACAGACAAATAAAATTCATGATTTTTTATATTTTTAATAATTTAATTTAAAAAATAAATAACCCCATGTTTGAAAAGCAAATGAAGAGATTCCTGTGAGCGATGTGGAATAACCCTCACCTCCCTTCCCCTCTTCCCTCTGATATAGATTCACATTTTGTGGAGGGAACCCCTCGGACAATACAAGGCTTGATACATGCCAAGTTGTGGGACGTAACAGCGACCTTATTCCAGTTTTGTGGTTCAAAAGGTTGCTACTCTCTCACAGGTTACATGATCGATTTCTTTCAATGCTTAGCCAATGCTAGCGGCACAGAAGATTTTAAGGTTAAGAAAAAAAGGGAAAATTCCCAGTAAGTATTCTGTATTTTAGGCTGAATATCAATTTAGTATCCGAACTTTAAAATATGATAATATAGTATTGGAACTTTCATTTTGCAACAAGCCGACAATCTAATGGCGTTAATTCACCCTTAAGTGTCATGAAAAAAGACATAAACGTCCCTTAGGCTTCATCTAATTTTCTTTTATCAAATGAATCCCAAAACTTTTGCTTTTGAAACGAACAATCAACGTACGCAACGATATCAAAATCGACGGCTGGCTATAAGACTGTCTTTCACAGTACGCAACTCCCCCTCAAAGCAATGGACATCTAGAAGCGCTTCTGTCCCTCTCGAGAATGCTCGCCTACACGCAGAAACCACGATCGTCGAACACCCCGACCAGCAAGTCTCTCCTGCACCATCTGGAATGGATCAAACCGCTGCACATCAGGTACTGAACAGCTATTTGGTACCTGCTGAAGTCAGGTACTGCACTCCCTAGATCAACCACTATCTGACGATGAACTGTTCACCGCCACTGTTCATCGTCTCCTTCGTTGAACAGCGGCGGCACTCCTCTTCTCTTCTATGGGATCCCGAAACCACCAGCCACCCCAACGAGATGGTGCGGATGGATCAAACCGCTTCTGAAATGAAAGATACCACTACTTCGCCTCTTTGTTGGACCGCCGGCGTGAACACTGTGGTCTCTGACCAGGATCAGCAGCGGTTTTAGTTCATGCCTAGAAAATCATGGAAAAGGAAAACTGGTTTTTCTTCCTTGCTGTTATTGTCGTTGTTGTTCTTGCTGCAATTACTGTTATTATGAGACATCATCAGTACAACCATTTCATCGGGAAACCATTCTGGAACTCGTACCGAAGTCCCCCCACTCCCCCGAAATAATAATTTAAATAACCATCCTCACAAAACAAATTAAAAAGAAAGGAGAAAAGGGAGCTCGAATTTTCAGAAAAGATAAAGTAGAGAGAGAGATATGTGAAGAGAGGAAGAGGAGCATTAAAAAGCAAAAGTTGGGTTTATTCACTCTCTGTGTTTCATTTCATGGGTTTCGTGTTCTGTTTTGTTCTGTTCTGCTCTGCCTCTGTGCTCGTGTTTTATGGCATTTTTGTGTTGTCGCAGAGAGAATACGAGATGGTGCAGGATTTGATCCGACAGATCCGATGGGATCCGACGCATGGAAGACCACTACTTCCAGCATTAAAAAGCAAAAGTTCTGTTCTGCTCTGCCTTTGTGCTCGCCTACACGGGATCTGACGCATCCAGCAGAGAGAAGCAGCCACCGGCGAGTCCTTTGGATTCTGTTTAGACGATGAATAGTGTTTTTTATTTCAAAGGATAATTTTGATATTTTTAAAAATTTTAAATCGCATATGAGGTCATATGATATACATAATTGACGTAGGTACTACATTCTTGCAAAATAAAATTTCGAGTACTAGATTGTCACATTTTAAAGTTTGAATACTAAATTGACACTCAATGTAAAAATATAAAATAACAAGGAGAATTTATAAAAAAAAATCCCACCCCCATCATTTGCTGATATATCTAAAAAGCCCCTTTTTTTCGGTAAATTTTTTGTTTTGGAAATAGAAACCAAAATAATAAAATACAGAAAAGTATGAACAGGCCTAATGTTGGTTTTTAATTCCCACTACAAAGTTATAAACATTCAGAACACTGCCCATATTTGTGTCGTTCCAATTCGAATCGTCTTTTCACCAAGAGGGAAAAACTCCTAATGGTCTTCGATGCATCAAACAAAATGCAAAGGCTTAAAAATTTTGCAAAATATTTTTGTTTCAGGGACACATTATGCCCACCAGCACCAAGTCGTCGATCCTCTTTGTATTCAATCTCTTTTTAGTTACTGTCATTAAGGGGGTGTTCTTTTTTCAAATTTTGATAGGGGGAAAGTTGGTCAATGGGATTTTGGTTTCCTTTGATCAAGAATCCCATGTTCTTTTTTTAGATTTATGTGGGGACCAAACCATCAAATAAGTGGTGCCGCTTCTCATGAGGGTTTGGGTTTGTTCTCGGGATTATTCATAAAACCAGGAAAGAAGCACATGGCCATAACAATGTTGAGCAAAACTTGAAACTCTTGTAGAGACTGGAGATTTTGTGTGTATAGGTGTCTCCGGTCTGTCTTGAGAGTAATTGGTTTAAGGTCTTACCACCAATAACTTTGACAAGGCTCTGAGATAACTATACTAACAAGAGGTTTAAGTTGATAAACACMTTTTGTATGCATAATTGTGTCATAGTAGTTTGGATTGAGAGAGAACTATGTAATTAATCAATCAATGTGGGGGATTGTTGGATTTTGATCTCATAAGAGATTAAATCTAATGGGTTTGATTGGTCAATTACATGAGAAATTGCACCTGCACACTTGATTGAAAAATGAGTTTTTCTCTTACAAAACCCAATTTTGAACTTGTCCTACATTGGAAAATTATAAGTTTTGTTTTTAGTATTTCAATAGGAGCTGATTTACACTCCTTAGAATTAGTAGAGGAGAGTATGGGTGCGTGCGTGACTCGCGATGGGCGGCTTTGGTTTTGCTGCGTTGCTGACTGTTGATCACCGTTGATGAGATCAACGGTCACGATTCGATCGGGTGTGATCAAGAGGCACAATTCAAAGTTAACAGTCACTAACTGTTAACTACTTTTTAAACAGTCACAATGTTTGAAATTATAACTATTCAAGGTGCCTTCTCTAAACCAGCACCTACCTTTTCTTCATAAGTCTTCACAAATTATTTAAGGAGCATGAATCAGACTCCAAAACACATAATTTCGAAATTCACTCTCTCTCTCTCTCTTTGTCCGGTCTGCTATAATCTCACAGAAGGTTTCTTTGGAGACTCTTCAACTTTGCTGGTTGCAGATTCTCGCCCAAGGCTCTGTTGTATCCTGGGAACGAATTTGCCTGTAACCCAACAGCAAACTCAGTGAAACTGAGTAGGGGCAAATAACGTTCTAAAGACAGTGTCTTCAGACGCGCCTCAAAGCTTCTCCTCCAAAGTTACAGTAACCCCTTTTTCTCCAATAGTTTCAAGTTGATGGTGGTCTTACCAGCAACAACAAAAATAGTCAAATAGTAAAAGGTTTCAGGTTGACGGTTGTTTTACCGGCAACAACGAACGGGAAAGCAGTAAACAGCAGCTTCAGACGAAACGATGGTGGTAGTTCTCTTCTTCAAACACATTAGGGTGAAAAAGGGTTCTCTTCTTCGTGGCCCATGATGCATCGGATCAACCTCCTCGGACCACCATGCCGGCATCCACGTCAATGCCACATCAGCAACAGGTTTCAGGAAACGCCATGTTAGGGGAAGCGAGAATTTATTGCTTCTCCCAATGGCTTCAGGCACATAAATCTATGTGTTTCAGTTTTTTACTGTTTTTTTAATAAACGGGTGAACCAAACAGTAATTCAACCCTCAATAAACACCCACACTTAGCTGCCACCACAGAACCAAACATGCTCTATAATAACTTAAAAAAGACGAACAAACATCTATTTTTTATTCCGGAGAAGTACTGACACACATGATGCAGAATTCTGAATTCCAACCCGCCCTACTAGCCCTCTCCCCCCTATAAACCACATCCTGTCCGTAAATTTAACATCAATTCACGGTCAAGATGCATTCCCCGAGTACTTTGGACTATAAAATTCTGATATAGACTGATTGGTCATTCTCCCTTTTTATTCTTAACCACTTAAATGGCAAGGCACCAACTAGTTACTTGGTAAGGTCTTTAGCGGGTTGTAATAGAGATTTGGGATCGCTTCGTGAGGGTTTTGGGGGTGTTATGGGAGACCCATAGAGCCCAAAACGAAAAAAGAACAGAAAAAAAAAATAATTAAACATTTAAATGACATAAAATTTCTAACCAGCTGAAAAGCAGTCAACCAATATAGTTTTCTTCAGAACAGAACAGAACAAATAAATTTACTTTAAGGTCCTATTTACCTTGCAGAGTAAGTTAAAAGTTCTCTATACAAATTTCTTCCCCTTGAAAACTGAAAATTTAGGAATCTATAGTTATTACTGAGCATAAATATTATAATCCTTGTACCAATATTTCTGTCATTTATGTAAGAGCTAATTTGCAGTTTAGACCAATTCCTGCTGTAGTAACTTACTTTTATGTGATTTGAACAGTAAATTTAAACTAAGCAAATGATGGTGACTTTGTTGCAGGGTGAAACAGTACCTTTAAAACCTTGTACACACCGTTATCATGTGCCTTATAGAGCATCACAAAGTACTGCTCCATTGTGGTACTCAATTAAGCGTGCTTCAGCATACATAATATTCTTGGCTTCATATTCTGGATATGAATTCAACTATTATGCATGGTTCTTAAAACTGGACCGGATTGGATGGTTAAATTGGAAAAATCGGGAATTGGTCAGGTGATTGGTTCCAGTTTTCCTCAAAACTAGATTTTTCATAAAAACTGTTGATTTTGGTCAGTAAATCGCTGACCCAGGCAGTAAAACATTCAAACGATTTTGACCGGTTTTCATTTTTTTCTTTTAATCAAAACAGGCCGACCATTCAACCCGGTAACCGGATCCCTGACTGGTTCGGTCTTCGGATCGGTTTTAAAAACCATGCTACTATGAATAATGTGTTAAAAGGAAAATATGAAACTGACTATATGTTATTGTATGTAGCTTTGTATGTGTCTAAGTAATAGTCTGAATTAGAAGTCACAGAAAAGGGGTAATTGACTTAAGTTGGATGTATATGTTAAGGAGATATTTCCTAACAAGAGCTTGTTTTCTATGAACGATCTGTAAGTGCTCTCTCTCTCTCTATATATATATACAATTTTGGTGATTGAAATCTTGATGTTCAATTTGCTAGCATGGTTTTCAAAACTGGGCCAGACTGAACGGTTGGACCAGAAAACCAGGAACCGGTCAGGTGACCGGTTCCAATTTACCCCAGAATCATTATTTCCCCAAAAAACGTTGATTTGGTCAACAAACTGTTGACCAGGGCAGTCAAACCGCTCAACAGTTTGACTGGTTTTTATTTTGTAAATTTTTTTTAAATATTTTGTTAGAATGGACCATTCGTTCGGTTCAAATGGTCGGACCATTCGACTCAGGAACCGGACCCCTGACCGGTTCGTTGTCCGATTCGGTTTTAAAAACCTTTTTTCCTAGTCTCCGAGCACTTTTAGTTTTATGGCCGTCATAGTTTCTTACTAATGAGCTTCTCTTTAGTAAACTGCATTTGCTTCATAAAATGGATGTAAAATTTTTCAGACTGAAATGTTTCAGCTATTATTTCTATCTCTATTAAACAAAATTTCCATTCTAAAAGGGGTGAAAAATGGATCTCAAATATTTCAGCCTGAAAGATTTTCTGTCCATTTCATGCTGAAAGTAAGGTTTTTAAAATCAAACCGGACAACGAACTGATTAGGGGTTTGGTTCTCGGGTCGAATGGTCCAACCATTCAAACCAAACAGACGACCTGTCCTGACAAATAAGAAAATTAAAAAATAAAAATCAACGGTTTGAACAGCTCGACCACCCGGATCAGCAATTTGCTGACCAAATCAACAGTTTTTGGGAAAATAATGGTTCTGGGGTAAAACAGAACCAATCACCTGGCCGGTTCCTGGTTTTTCTGGTCCAACCATCCGGTCCAGCCCGGTTTTGAGAACCACGGCCGAAAGAAACACAGCCTGTTAAATTAATGTGAACTGTGTTTCAGGGGGCCATTGATGATCTTAGGAGAATGAGAATTTGGGTTTTCAGAATTTGCCGAAGACTTCATCCAAAATTCAACGTACACTTCTGAAGACCTGGATAGCCAGGATCGTTGTCGGGTAATGACCCTTTTAATTAGTATGCCCATTTCAACAAGGTAAATTTGTAGTTAAGTACTTAAGCAAGACTTCTTACATGGGAACAGAGTAATAGGTTTGGAAAAATCTACTTTTGCCGAATGGTCAGAATCTAATGAATATATGAAGCCTGATCAGATATCTGTCTGTCTCATACGCACATGTTAGAGGGTTCGGGGTTGGTTGTGGTTGGAGTCGTTCGATGGTGGATCTGTTGCTCATGTTAGGTCTGCAACTTCTGAGGATTAACTCTAACAAAGATCTCTACTGGTCGGTTGTTATTGGAAAAAATTAACAAAGTTTTCTTTGTTTAATTTGTAATCAGGTTCACATAAATCAGGGAGATCACATTGAAAGAAGCGTGATTGTTTCATGGGTGACTCCAGAAAAGCCATGCCAAAGCCATGGCTACATTTTACAGATATTAAAATTATAAATCTGGCTTCATTCATCATGCCACCATTGAGAACTTAGAGGTCTCTCTCTCTCTCTCTCTCTCTTCTTTCTCCTCTTCTTCCTCCATTCTGCCACTGATAAAACCGCCAAACAGGGAAGCACTGCCACTGAGACTACAGTGGTACAAAGATGACTAAGGAGAAAGATACTGATAAAGGCCGTTGGCCGTTGGTCCACTTCCTTTTTGTTTCTTTTGATCCCCACTTTGCCGCTCCATTCTTCTTCATTCTGGGCTACAACAGTCTAGAGATGCAAGATGACATTGAATAGATGCAGGAGGATTACGTATTATTGATTTATTCATTATCTTGGGCGTCTAATATGAATGTCTTCGTCAATTGGGTTCAAAGATCCACGAAATCACTAGGGGATCTGCTAGCTAAGAGGGAGGGAGTAGATTAGAGTAAGCTGTACGGGATGACAACTTTCCAGGGCTAAGATCATCGAGCTGCATTTATCGGACATATAGTGTACTTTATTTATTCAAGCATAACATTTTCTTTTCTTCATTGAAACAGAAAAAAAAAAAACAAAAAACATACCTCACCAAATGCCAATGTATAAGTGAAATTGGCATGTAAAGTGAAATTGCCAGTTTTCTTCCCTTCATTGATATATCAGTTATGGCAGACTGAAACCCAACATTAGATAGCGTTAAAGCTCAAACTTCAAACAATAGACAGCAGCCACACCCTTGCTGGAAGATCCAAGAACCACGATGTACAAAAACCAAACATCATCAACGTTCTCACTTTGGCCAATCGGAAAGAAAAATGCATACACCACCAAATGCCAAAAAGAACAGGATACAATAGATAGCCTGCTTACACGTGAGCAGGGTTTTAGGCTTGTGCTCTTCCATTGAGCAACCTTAAACCATATACTCCGGCATGATCTGATGTAGAATTCAACATGCCAAAATGATTTCCTGGAACCAAAGTTCAACCACTTGTTTCAGCTCTTCAAAAACTTGTTTAAAGAAAATGGTGAAGGTCCATCCTGCCGAAACACAGGTAGAGGAATAAGTTATGCAATCTATACCTCTTGTTCATATAATCACAGCAGGTGTATGAAATATCAGACTGGAACTGTTCAAGTATAATAAAACTTCTACTTGTTCATTGCGGTATAAACAATTCCATTTAACAGCATCAAATTGCAAAAGATTGAAACAAATAATTAAAAGCACATATCGAATAGTTTCAAGTTTACAAGTCTGAGAATGCAGGTTTAAGTCTGAGAGTGGCTGTGATGAGTTACCGCTCACCTCGGAAGCCCCTTCGAGGGTGGCTTAACCTCCTGAAACAGAAGATGGGAGGGAAAGGGGAAAGGTAGGAAGAAAATGGTTCAGAGAGAGAGATGAAAGGGATATTCATTCACGCCACTTATTACATG